GCGCTGTGGGAAGGCAGAGGAGGGTGGGGGCCAACCCCTGCTGAACTCAGGGGAGGAGCGACCGGGGTTGCGGTGGGAGGATGTTTGCTTCCTCTCTCAGTTCTGATGCGGTTTGCGTGTTTCAGAGAACGCGGTCGACTCAATGGCGACTGGTTTCTTTTACTCAAGCCATTATCACTTACTTTAAAAAAAAAAAAAAAAGGGATAGAGGTCGTACCCCCGGGGAAGAAGGCAGAGCCAGGAGCTGTTGGACCCTAGAAGGTGTACGGGGTGGGGCAGGAGGGGAGGACTCTTGGAGGACGCGGGCTCGGGGCCACACGGGCAGGGCGAGCACAGTTCTTCCTTGAAGTGGAGCTTCCAGACCGGGAAGCTCTGGGCCACGACAGCAAATAAAAATACACGCTAAGGAGACCACCCGACGGGGACCCACTACCCAAAAACGGACCAGAGACCACGAACTAGGTTTTAGAGGAGCAGAATCTGGGTTTTTTTTTCTTCTTAAGAGTCAGCCGCTATTATTCCAATAGTAGATTTTAGCATTGACTTTTTCCCTCCTACAAACGAAGCTGTGAGACCCTTCGCTTAAGCATTTGAAACACAATCTCAACAGATGTCAGTGTTTTCATATATTTATTATTACTACGAACTGATACGAAACAGTGGCTCTATCTCTTAGCAACCGGGTGGCCGTGGGCGCTGACTTCGCTTCCTGCACCTCTCCTTCCCCCTCTGCAGAACGGGGTGATGACAGTGTGCCCATCCTACTGGGACAGATCAAACAGACCAGGCACTTACAACAGTGCCAGGCACAGAGCAAGCGCTCAGAAATCGCTAGGATTCTTCTTTTGGTTGTTGTTGCTATTGTTATTTGGGATGTCCTAGAGGGGCCGGGGGAGCATTGGGCGTAGGGGCTGAAACTCTCCCAGCCTCTCCTACCCCCAACTTCCACACAGGGTTCCCCATCCCCTCTCTGAGACTTTGGACAAGTTGCATCCCCTGTCTGAGCCTCAGCTTCCCCATCTGCAAAATGGGATAGTAATATCCAACACCTCCTCCCCAGTGGGGTGGTGGTGAGGATGAGGTGGGTGAAGGCATTTAGGTTTTACAGCACAGTGCGGATCTAGATCGGTGCATCTTCAACGGCCACCCCCCATGCCGGCGTGTCTCTCTCCCCTTCCTCTCCAGTTCTTAAAGAATGACCCCAAGACAAACAAATACGATGGGTGGCCGGAGCTGCTAGAGCTGGAGGGCTGCCTGCCTCGGAGGATACCCTAGGGCCTGTGGCTCGTCCTGGGCCGGGCCTGAAGAACCCCCACCTGACGTAGGCGGGCCGAGCAGACGGCGGGAGAGGAGACGGTGTTGCCCACAATGACAAACGTCCCCCTCTACAGAAACAAAACCCTCCCGCTGGGCTGAGATGTCCTGCCTGGGAGGTGACCGGCCTCAAAGGGTCCTTCCAGAAAAAGCCGTCCACTGAGAGAACAGGTGTGCTTCCCCTCAGGGCTGCTGACTGTCATCCCGAGGAAGGACTGGCAACACCTGAGCTACATTAAATTTTATTTTTGCTGATTTTGAATGAACTTTCTGACGATTCAAGTTGTAGTGTTTCTCCCTGGGATCGAATTGGTCTAAGACTCGGTTCGCTTGGGCCACAGGTCAGTCAGGTCAGTGACAGAGCTTCAGGCCCATTGTGAGACAGCTCAGTTTATAGTGATTTATTTCGATATGAAGGAATCCCTAGTCCCCAGCACAATGGGTCAGATGTACAGGAACAGAGAGTCAGGGATCAGGGCCCGGAGAATATTGTCGTGACCTGCTGTTTGAATGAAAGTCTGCAGAAGTCACAGCTGGCGAGAAGAGGAAGGGGGACGAGCTGGGAACGCCAGACCCTGAGGCAGGCTTGAGGGAGAGCATCCTGGCCGTCTCGGTCCGGACTCCCCAGGAACAGACCCTGAGACAAGCTTCGAGTCCAGGCAGTGTATTTGGGAGGTGA